ACTGAGTTACGCAAGCCCCTTCACCACGACAAGGCAGTGATCCATGAAGGGGATGTATATGTATATGTATATGTATATGTATATGTATATGTATATGTTGTGACTGGGAGTCTGCATGACTGGAGAGTAACAAATTAGCAAACCCTGATGTGGGCTTATCCCAGAAAAAACAGCTCCTGTAGGCCCTCCCAAGAGATTTCACTCACCTACCACCCACTATATACTACCCACTTCATGGCTTAATGGAGATGTTGTTTCCATCTTTAGACAAACACAGAAAAAGGGCAAACTAAAGTTTATTGACATAACTGAGCCCTGACTTTTCCAGAAGTTACAAATGCTAATAATATCTACTGTTTGCCAGAGTGCATTTCACCTACATGTTAATTGGAAGAATTATAAGAAGACTGTAAACAGGAAGCTAAGAAATAGCTGCTACCTAAAGCCACAGTGTGAGCCTATGGAACAGGAAAGATTTCAGCCAGAAACTTTCTAAACTGTAGTTCAGTGTTTTCTTAGAAGTTGAGTTTCATAGAACTTACTTTCTAGTGAACATGCTTAGGATTGCAGTGTTAAATAGGATCAAGTCCTATTCCTCTTACGTGTTACTGTACCAGGCAATATTTTGGTTTGGATTCTTTGCTATGCTTTTCTCTAAAAATCTTACCTTTTGAAATATTTCGGTTATGTTTGCTTCTTTTCAAGAAGTTATTCCCAGCTCATTTATTCAGTAGTGGCTGAGACAGGACATGTGTTGCTGGCACCATCACTTCCTTCCATGAAGATCCCTTGCAACTTTCCAAATCAATTTTTTTTTTTTTTTTACTAACGCGCTAACCCAAAGTTTAAGGTCCACTGATTTCTTCCTTGGGCAATTAAGCTTAGATCTCTTCTGTAAAGATTTCAAAGCTTACATGGTATCAAAGTGAACTGTGAAGCAGGAGTTTGTCATACAGTGGGACTCCCTACATGCCTCAAGGAATCTCAGAGCAAAAACTCTCATTGGCTTCCCATTCCCAGTGCTTTTCTCCGTCCCCCTTTCTAACAATCCTTTATTATCATTTTCTGATTTTCTAATATGATTTCATATTAATATATGTTAGTAGTAATATATATTAATACAATACCATATAAGAAACAAGTTTGTTCTCTATTTGTTTATTTAAACACACATATCCCTTAGCAAAAACTAACCCAAAATAAACACAAGCTGTGTTTTTAAAGGACAGGGATGATTATCAGTAGTTTCGGGGTGCTAATAAGGTAAGTGTGGCCTTCCCTGGACCATTCAGATGGCTGAGATTAGTGATGGATAGTCAAGTGAAAAGAATGATCAAAGGTTAATGGTGGATTGAGTAAAGTATCCCCTTGAAGTATTCCTCAAGACAGAAAAGACAGTGATTTTTCCTGTTTTGAAAATGGCAGGCTATATGTCTCCTGGTGCCTTTTACCTTCTTAGTGATGGTTTATACACACATTCAGCTTACTCTCACTTCCTCATCCACCTTCTTGGTGGCAAGGGTGTCTGAGAGGTTGGTGCTTCCTACTTCACTAAGGCATTCCTGTTGTCTGGCATCTGAAAGCCATGTCCCTCTTGATCAGCTGTCTGGGGAACCCAGCCTATGAGTCAAGTTTTCCTAAAGCCTGGTGTAAAGGAATTTAAAGCTGACCTTGGGGAAGGCATGAAAGAGGCATAAAAGAGGGGCTGAACAAGTGAGTGAAGTCTGCAAAGTTGAAGGAAGCATGACAGCAAAACTCAAAATGACCTTGCCTTGATTCTTTTTGGTGTAAGAGGGGCAGAGAGAAATTCTGGCAGGCTTTCAAGATTCTGTTATTATATCCTACAACAATAAGGTAGTATTCCAGGAATCCCTGTAGTGTCTGTTTCTTGACTTGGCTTATCTCAAAGGGCTGGCATCTGTCTTAGTTTGATTTGAAAGTATTCAAGCTGTGTTTTGGATCATAACATGTTTGTAATACATATTGGATAGTTACTAACCTTTTGTATTGTGTATACATCTAGCATTAGCCTCTTGTTGCATGAAGAAAGGAAAATAAAAAGAACTCTTACATCTATTTCGATGGTCCTTGTTTCCTTTCAAGTAAAACGGGAGTTTTCATAAACAAGTCAATGGATTTTTTAAAAAAAGCTCATACACAATGGAGGAAATATGATGACTGTAACTATAGTATAATAGGTGGGGGAATCATGAACCAAAACAAACATGTGTGTCTGGGTGTGTATTGCTCCTTGTACATGCAACAGCAGACCCATCCCCATCAGCTGATTTATAAAGCAGATGAAGGGAACTTGTTAAAAAGGCAGAAACTCTGGCTAGGTGAATTGGAATTGTACAAAAAAGCCCCAGCTCCTGTTCCATCCTCTGTTTGACCCACCCATCAATCGTGTTTTTCTCCCAATGGATCTTCATTTTTGTTTTGCTTTCCGTATTTCTTTTGAGTATTTCTGCTCTAGACATCCTTCTACAGAAAAGGAACTGAAGGTTATTGTCAAGCAGGGGGTTTTCCTGGATGGTGTCCTTTTGTCTAACAACATGGTTTCGTTTTGCAGTTGTGGTTCCCATTTCTATTAGAAGTTGCAACCTCAGTGCTGGCTGCATGATGGAGGAAAGCTGATCTGTCTGTCTGTGGAACAGACTTGATGGCTTGTCTGTGGTACATATGAAATCCCAGGAGGTTGCAGAATAGGGCACTGTGTGGTGCTAACAAGACTGCCTGGCATGTCTGGGCGAAGCTGCTGTTGTGTTTCCCAGTTATGCCACAGCTGCCCTCACTCCTTGCCCTCCCCTGAAGGAGTGACCTACATTTGATGCTCTGGATTTCTCTTCTCTTGGGGGACCAACTGGAGCCTCAGTAAGGGGGCTTCGAATGAAAGTAGAACCTCTGGAATATGATGCTTCCCTCGCTCTCTTCCAAACGGCCCCATTTGACAAACGACACAATAAACCAGCGAGCTGCGTTGTCCCAGCGTTATCTTTTCAGAGGGATCAGTGACACAAGAGGGAACAGCTCCTTATTTCTGTCAGGATTTGCAGTAATGTTGGAGCAACTGCTGAGCTGGGGAGGGGGGAAGGAAGTCCCCCGTTAGCCTGCTTGGACTTTGCTTGCGCGTTAACACCACGTGTCGCGTTATGAAGCCAACATACGGAATGTGGATATCTGCGTGCGACTGCACAGAACGCACTAGCGTCATACTGTTCCAGAGGCGTATCGGCAGAGCTGGCCAGGAGGGTTCCAGCGCCCGAGGGGGGCGGGGACTCTTAAGTCTCGATTTTCAACCGCCTCTTCCCTTCTCCCTGCTAGGACTCTCCAATCAGCACGCGATGGGCGGTAAGCAGCCACTCTCGTGGCGCCGGGACGCCAGCGAAGAGCTGGTTGTCCGGAAGCCGTTCTCTGCCATTCTTGCGGGGGGCTTGCGGGGGGGCGGGGGAGGCAGCCAAAAATGAGCGTTCTCCCACCCCTGCCTCCCTCTTTTCGTTGTCCTTGTTTTGCGCGTAAGCTTCTCGCGCCATTTAGCACCTTTCCAAGATACTAGAAGTTGCGGGACTTTCCCAGCAGACCCCAGCCGGACCTGAGCCCATATTTTCTCATATCCTCAGTGCTAAAAAATGCTTTTTCATAATTAGTCTCATTAAAGCCCGCTCCAAGACTTTCACCGTTTCTTCTGCAGTATGATTGATTGCGAGCTCCTCCTCCTTCAAAGGGTCTCTGAATTTTAAACTAAAGGCTGAAATTAAGTTGGTAAATCCTTTCCCTATATTGTATTTTCAGCGTGGAAACAAATAGGATATCTTGGAAATTTGCCTATTAGGTAACTTCTGGCATTAGAAACCTTGACGGAAAAAAACGACGGCAATTTAATATGCTAGATTTTATCTATTTACAATATTGGTAGTAGGATCTCCAGCGCGCGCCCACACACACAGCATGCACTCGCACCAGGGTTCCAGATTCCTCTTGCCCTTTTTCAGTATAGTCCATTTTCCCTCCCTTCAATACTCTTTTTTCCCCACCAAGAGAAACTATCACGTTCCATAGAACAATCAAGGTTCTAACCTTCTGCCCGTGGAACATCAAGTATTAATACAAGGTTGTCCTATGATTTTCACAAATGCACTGAACACTGCCTGGGCTTGCACAACATGCTAGGTGTGAGGTTAAAATGAAGTACCATAGCTTGTGGTTCAGCATCTTGTAGGGACCTAGCTATTCTCTTTAGGATGTTGTGTGCATCAGACTATCACTTTAAACTTTATTGTTTACCATCACTTTAAACTACATTGGGCATAGCACGTTATGTTTAGTATTATGTGATCCCCACCTTTGGATTAATCTAAGGAGACCACAAAAATTTACATCTAAATCTTTAAAATCTCATGTGTATCTTGTTCACCTATAGAGTGAGGTGTGGGTAAGAGGAGCTAAACCCGGGGTCTATGATCCACCACCCATGCTTTCTCCTTCCCCAACAATAATACAGAATAAAAGAACATTGCCTTGAACAATGGGCCAGTTGGTGCAAACAAGATTCACTTCATCCCCCCACCCCATACACCTTTTGAACTTTGTCTCTTTATATGTGAATTGATTGGACACAGGATTGATACCTGCCTCTTCTAATTCAGTAGTTTTCATTTCTTGGAAAAGACAAGGAGATTAAATGGGAATTTCATGTATTGTAGTTGACTGATAGTATTTTAAATCCAGGAATCTAACTGGTGTGTTGTAAGGTCTGTCTATAAAGTTCTCCTTTTCTGTGAAGTTTGTTGGTGAGATTTGCATCTGACTGTCAGTTAAGTTCAAGACCATACTAAAAGCAAACCCTTTCTAGAATATTTTTAGCAATTCTGTATGCAGAATTGGAGAGCCTTGTTTATTCTTTTAACAAATACTTAGTTTATTTGGTGATATTACCTTATTTGAATATAATATTGAAAATAGCATTTAACACTGTTCTTTGGCCATCTAGATTACAGGTAGTCCACGGGTTAAGAACGTCTGGTTTACAGATGACCTATAGTTAAGAATGGAGCCTATTGTAGCAGAATTTGAGTTAAATACACAATGGTTCAAGTTCATTGCACAATACTACTTATACAGTATTATACAATAATACTCTAGATTACAGGTAGTCCACGGGTTAAGAACGTCTGGTTTACAGATGACCTATAGTTAAGAATGGAGCCTATTGTAGCAGAATTTGAGTTAAATACACAATGGTTCAAGTTCATTGCACAATACTACTTATACAGTATTATACAATAATACTGCTCCGACTTACATACAAATTCAACTAAAGGACAGTCCTTGGGAACAGAACTCGTTCTTAAACTGGGGACTACCTGTACTATAAATGTAACAGGGAAGTAAAACTAAACTTCAGCACTAACCAGGCCATTTCATAAGTTAATGTTAATATTTTAATATGTTAAACATTTCTGATATGCTTCCATTGAACCTTTTTTCTTTTTTCTTTTTAGAATTTATTATTGCTTCTATGTTATGTGTTTACATGTGCTGCTTCCTTTTAAAGTTATAAATAATTCTGCAGTTATGCCAGAAAAATATGGTGGTAGAGTGGAAGATGTATAAAATGAACACAGACAGTGAGTTTAGTTTATGTGTTAAGAGTATGATTTAAAGTGTTTTATAAGTCAAATAGAAAAATGTTTGTTTTGAAGGGCAGAATATGAATTTTTGAAATAAAAATAATAAAAAGGACCCAAGTTATTGCAAATCAGTCTGCTTATTATCAATACTGGGCAAAACTCTTGAACAGATTTTTAAGGGGTTGGTTTGTACTACTCTGTAAGGAGCCAGCCTGAAAAAAAAAAAAGAGCAAGTGATGCCAAACCAACATGATCTCATTCTTTGATAAAGGTAATGTATCTTGATTTTAGCAAAGTATATGAGAAGTTCTCATTGCAGATCCTAGTAGAGAAAATGGCAAAATGAGGGCTTCCTTATTGTTCCCATTAGGAAGATACAGAGCTGGTTAAACAGTTGTATCCAATAAGTGTACATCAGTAGTTCTGTAGTTCTTCTGTGCCCAGTATTGTTCTACATAGTGGCCTGGATGGAGGGTTAGAAAGTAAGGTTATCAAATTTGTAAACCAGACAAACATAGAAGAATTGCAAAATTTAGAGGAAAGTGCTCTTAGAGAATGACAAACTGAACAAGAACCTACAAGAAAGTGTGATGCAGCTACAAAAAAAAAAAAAAAAAGAGCCAATGCAATCATAACTTAATATCAAGATCAAAAGAAGTTATCATTCCTGTCTATTCTGTGTTGGTCAGACCACACCCACAAGTATTGCCTCCAGTTTGGGGCACCACATTTTAGGAAGGAAACTCGCAGACTGGAAGAGAGGAACCAAGATGAAGAAAAAACTTTTGAGGAATAATTGAAGGCATTGGGTATGTTTAGCCTGACTAAGAGAAGGCTTCAAGGAGACATGGTAGTGTTCTTCGAGTGTCTGTAGGGCTGTCACGTAAAAGGGCAGAATTGTTTAGAATTATTTCAGAAATCAGGACAATAAGCAGTGGGTTTAAAATACAAGGAACTAGATTTTGGTTAGACATCAGGAAAAACTTCCTAATGATAAATGCTATTCAACAATGGAACAGGCTGCCTCAGAAAGTGGTGAACTTTCCTTTGCTGGAGGTGTTTCAGCAGACATTGGATCTGCTGCAGATGCTGTAACTCTGGGCAGGGGGTTGGATTAGATCTGACAAGTATCTTCCTTCCTTCCTTCCTGACTACCCTTACATTTTATTATTCATTCTGAGTATAGGTAGCCTTTGGTTAACAATGGCAATTGGAACCAGAATTGCTGTTGCTAAGCGAAGTGGTCATAAAATGGGATGTCACATGACTGTGCCACTTAATGACAGCAATTTCAGCACTCCCAGTTGCTGTCGTTAAGCGAAACATCATGGGTTGTTAAGCAAGGATATCATGTGGTCGCGATTTGTGATCTCCTGCCGGCTTCCCCATTGACTTTGCTTGTTGGAAGCTGGCAAAGAAGGTTGCAAATGGCAATCATGTGACCATGGGGATACTGCAACAGCCAGAACTCTGAGGACCGGTCGTAAGTACCACTCACTCAGTGCTATTGCAATTTTGAAGGTTGCTGAACAAGTGGTCATTAAGCTAGGACCACCTGTAATTAGATTAGACTCAAATATACAGTCAGGACCAGAAATACTGGAACAAGGATAACTATTTTGACATTTGGCCTCTGTACACCACCACATTGAA